GACGCGCACCTGTATATTTGTTGCCATGGAGGTGATCACGTGACGTTGTACACTGTAATGGCGGATTATAGACATCGCAGAGGGAACAGTTGACATCAGACGAAAGATGGATTTACGCGTGTGTTTAGGAATTGTTTGCCTTCTTTCTTTGGCGTTTACATCCTCCGAAGCTAAATGGGTTGAAGGGAATTTACAGTCAAATAACGTAAGTAACTCAAGATCATGTTTCAGAACGAGTGTAAGTGCGACCCTTCGTGTATCATTGTCGTTAGAACTTAGAAGCGAATGCTATCACGAGTTGGAATGAGATGGTTTGTTTACCAAGTGTAATAGCAGACTATGTACTTACGTAGATGTCTACATGTCTGTGTCACATGTATGAAGAATAATCTATCAAATACATGCGGTTATGATTGCGAAATACATAGAAATTCTAACCATTAAGATGAAATATCTTACCTCACAATGTTGAAAGTTATGATCGACAACTCTGGCATACTGCCAATACGCCCTAGGCCAACTATTGATCATTAGTTGTGATAAATTCTTACATTTGATTTCATAAACCGATCAATGATATACATTTTGGATGAAAATAAGATCTCATTAAGTACAGTCCAGTTAAATTTCTACAAGGGCTGGGACGGATAACTCGGGTACCCGGGTCGGGTGGGTATTGAGTAGGACCAAGGTACCCACAGGACTACCCAGACATGTGGTTAGTCACGGGATGATATTGTTCAAGGGCAAAAATTATCTAGAACTCTATGGTTACGCTACAAGGGATAATTGTTCACATTTCTTTCTGACTTTGCACACATTCCTTCCGACTTTATATGTTTGCATAATGTTAAAACATCAGTCAACTTCAGTGTAGGGGAGACCGGGGTGCTTTGGGTCACGGGGTGCTTTCGGACACCCTCCAAAACTGCTATTTATAGGTGTACAATCACATAATTATTTACACTAAAGGAAGTGACATCATACACCGTAGCACTTTTTGTAGCAAGGGTGGAAGCAGCACCCTTTGACAGAAGTTTGGTAAGTTACATGTAATTTTTGCACTTCATTGTAAAATTCAGACCCCTATTGTTGAAGCTTTATAGGCCAAAGTGTTCCATCTTTCAGTTGATGTATGAGTTTTATTCAAAACAGTGATATCTTAAAAGTATTCTGCCATGAGATGAATTTCATTTTGTCATGGTTATGTCATGCAGCCATTAAAAAAATGCAAGGGTAGCGTCAGGGCGCATTGGGACACCGTGCCCGGGGCGCATTGGGACATGTCCCAATGCACCCCAAACATGTGATTCTAAATGACCAGCATGTAATCATTATTATGAATTCAAAATGTAATTAATTTGACATTTGCTTTGGATTTGTTTCTTGAACTTTGATGAAATATCAATGAAAGCTACTTTGCTAGTAGGTTCAATAACTGGTCTCCTTGGCCTTCAAGTGGAGCTTATTGAGCTGATAAACAGATATCTTCCGGTCAAAGAATTAGTTACATTCTGACGTTTAATTTGTTGTTTCTTTGTGAAGTTAGCGTCCTGAAAAAGAACTACCGTAGTCGACGTAATAAGTGCCCCGCTCTAATAAGCGCCCACGGCGATATTGTTTTTTTGTTGCTAATAATAATATATTGGCCAGTGAACAATCCTAATAAGCACCCCTTCCGATTGATCAATGTACACAAGACTTATATATTCGCGTATAATACGCACTCATGTGTTATATGCACACTTAATTATGGGCAATTAAATTCTGGAAAAATAGATCTGTCGTACATAAACATTTCAGGCTGTCAGCATAAACCACAGAATTTATCTTTTAACTCGTTTCTTTCACTAAAATAATACCCTAGTTGAGCCCCCTTTTTCTAATTTTGAGAGTGCCCTGGGCGCTTATTACGTCGAATACGGTAGTTATATACAGACAAGATCTATCCAAATTTCAAAGTTCTATCGCCATGTCTTTGTTAATGTCCCAATCCACTCCAGTATGTGTCCCAGTGCACCCCAGCCTGGAGTGCATTGGGACGAAAAAAATAATTTTTTTAAACACTGTGTTTCAGTTAACTTCATGTTTGTGAAATACATTTTTTGTTCAGTGTTGATTAGAAGTGTTGATTAGAAGAAGTGTCTATTTCTTTAGGAATCCATTTCATGTGGGATGTAGACTGGATAATACAAATTTTGTCCCAAAGCACCCCAGTCTCCCCTATGAATGACCAGATCGGTTTATACGTGTAGATCTATCAAAATTTATTAATTTGAATTAAATGTAAAAGTGTTGGGTTTTTTTCAAATTAGACTTGTTTTAATTTTAGAATTGATAGATTTAATACTAATAGTCATGATGATATAATTTGTGTAATTTATATATACAATTGTTTTTGATTAAGTATCTGTTTAGATCTATAACATTATTAATAATTTGAAATTTTACAATACAAAATGACGGATTAACTGCAGATTAACTAAGGTAAAGTAATTATGTAGGAATTGATAAATGGTTGAATGCTGAAAACTAACTTTTTTTTAAATACTTTCAAGACTCATTGTAAGCAATATGTTTTGCACATTTGCTTCAGTGTCAGTATTAGGATACCATATTCACCGTAATTAGCGCCCTGCTCTAATAAGCGCCCACTGCTAGTAAACAATCCTAATTAGCACCCCTTCAGATTGATTAATGTACACAAGACTTATTTATTTGCGTATAATACGCACTCATGTGTTATATGCATCCTTAATTATGGGCAATTAAATTCTGGAAATATATATCTGTCGTATATAAACATTTCAGGCTGTCAGCATAAACCACAAAAAGTTACGACCTTTCAACTCTGTTTTTTTTCACCAAAATAATATTCCATATTTCTAATTTTGAGAGGGCCTTGGGCGCTTATTACATAGAATACGGTATCCTCAAAACCTAAACTAGTAGAATCCTTGGGAATTTTGTCAAATTGTTATCAGTTATTAATTATTCACATATACTGATTGATTGGACATTACCATAGTCAGCGACCAGCTGCAGAAAGCATATGGTAAGCGCCATGGCAGTGACCATCTTCTAGATAAATCTGTAATCAGCATAAACCAAAAAGTTTATCTTTCAACACTGTGTTTTTTTAACCAAATCAATATTCTAATAAGAGCCCCCTATTTCTAATTTTGAGAGCGCCCTGGGCGCTTATTACGTCGTATACGATACACCTGGGCCCACTTGCACAAAGCGATCCTAGCGCTAAGATGATTGTAACTCCCATGCTTTAACATAGGCTTTAACACACACACACATGCATCATGTGCATGCACGTCGCTATATAAGTGCAATAATCTTGGACGCGACGTTAAACCCCATCAAACCTCACCTCACCTCACCTCACCTCACCTTATCTGTCATGACATGATAGTAACTAGAGTAATATGAAAGGATCGGGTGGTCCTTAAATTCTTTTGAGTCGTATATAAAACCTATTAGTTGGTTATTCTTGGTTATGAGGTATTGAACAGCCAATATTTTTACCCATTAATTAAGAAACCTTGTGAAGACGTTCGGCCATCACAAACCACATTATTGATAAATCTTGTCTCTGTACCCAGTATTTATCATCTTGCGCTGCAAATAATGATGATATTTTACCAAGGTCTTATAAAAAATATTTGTTCATAGTTAGGCCATGGCCTTAACAAGTTAATGTGAGAGACTGTGTTATTAAGTTGTCATTGTGTTATTAAGTTGTCATTGTGTTATTAAGTTGTCATTGTGTTATTAAGTTGTCATTGGAGTAGAATTTGTGCTACTTTTGTTAAACTTATGTCTAACTTTGTGTCAGTGCTCCAAAATGATGAATTTGTGGATACCGTATTTGACATAATAAGCGCCCTGGGCGCTCTCAAAATTAGAAATAGGGGGCTCTTGTCAGAATATCATTTTGGTGGAGTTGAAAGATAAATTTCGTGGTTTATGCTGACAGCCAGAAATGTTTATATACGACAGATATATTTTTCCATAATTTAATTGCCCATAATTAAGGGTGCATATAACATGCGAGTGTGTATTATACACGAATAAATAAGTCTTTTGTACATTGATCAATCGGAAGGGGTGCTAACTGGGATTGTTCACTAGCTCACTGACATACCATGCCCCAGTTTAACATGAATACCCCACTCAGACACAGTGTACTGACTCCGAGCCAACCAGTCCTTGTTTTGGCCCCTTAATGCCGAGCATCAGGCAGGATAACAACAAGTACCATCTTTTAACGTCTTTTGGTATGACACGGCCGGGGATCGAACCCGGACCTAGTGCTCTCCTAGCAGACGCACTAGACCACAGGAGCGGTCGATCAGGGCTAGACACGGCATCTAGTCCGAGACGATCAGGGCTAGACACGGCATCTAGTCCGAGACGATCAGGATTAGTTGAATATTATCAAAGGAGTCTAGCCTGCTTGAATGGCTGATTAGTTCTATAGCTAAAAATAAGTCCATCTAATAACACAATGAGAGCCACGTTCAGCTGGGAGACATGAGGAGTTGGGCACAGAATGCCCCACACAGTGCTCACATATTATAATTCACATTAGGTATTGATAGTTTTCTGTGGGTATTCAATATAGTTTAACTTCCTTGGACCCATGAAGATCCGGGGTAGAACAGGTCTTCAGCAACCCATGCTTGCCATAAAAGGTGACTATACTTGTTGTAAGAGGCGACTAACAGGAACAGGTGGGTGGTCAGGCTCGCTGACTTGGTTGATGCATGTCATCGTTTAAGGAATGGTCATTTTCTTTAGGGGAGGGGAGTAAAAATGGATAGGTTTAAGGTGGGGGTGGGGGGGAGGAGGATGAAAATATGTTACAGAATGGGAAGGGTCACAAAAATATATACAGACCGAAGACCAATCTCCTCCCCCCACCCTGCCACACACACCCCACCCACCCTATGCCAAATGACCAGACCTTATAGTGATTTAATGTGTGAATTTTATACAAATCCACAGGTTATTTTGCACTCGTACTATGTGGCGTTTGTTGGTGTGAAATCATTTCAATTTTTCTTTCATTTCAGAACTGGGAGTTCCTTGGCCGATTCTGTTTCCTGTCCTCCAAAGGCTCCCTTGTATACAGCTTCATGTACCCAGTGGTGAGAACACAACCGTTTCTTCTCTCCAAAATACTGCATCACAGGGTTTAAAATTCCATGCAGAGCTACAGAAAAAATACCCCCCCCCCCAAATATTAAAAACCCAATCACTTTCAATAAACTTGCATACAGAAATGCATGCATTAAATGAAAAACTCAAATGTATAAAAAAACAGAAGGCGTAAATACCAAATGAAGCTTTTTCAGCATGCGTACAACGAAGCTAATTTCCGAAAATTCCTTGCAGAGCTACAGATAAAATACCCCCCCCAAATATTTAAAACCCAATCACTTTCAATTAACTTGCATACAGAAACGCATGCATTAAATGAAAAACTCAAATGTATAAAAACAGAAAGAGTAAATACCCAATGAAGCTTTTTCAGCATGCATACAACGGAGCTAATTTCCGAAACACAATTATGAGCTAATTTATTTTCCAAATCAAGCCCATATATAGAACCGTTAAATGCATCTTAAACATTATGTCATTTTTTTTTAATCTCAAAATGTTGACTCATTTGGGGAAAAACCCAATTTAGTGATGAATAGATGAGTGAAAAAATATTGGTTACCCAATGAAAAATGTAATAACCACGTTAAAATAGAAACCTTTGAGTAAAATCTCAATTGCTCAAAAAGTTATCTGGAACTCTGATTCCATATATTTGTCATACACTATTGTCTGCTGTCTATCTATATCTTGGTTAATAGATTTGCAGAGCTTTGCGTTGAGTCTGATTTCAATGAATGATGCTGAAAATAGCCATCAAATCACCCCGTTCTTTCATGGTTTGATATCACAAGTTCTCGACTCAATTCTGTTTCGATAAAATGTATAAAGTTATCACTCATGCAAGGCCATAGATTTGAGTGAGAGGTGAGTTGGGTTTAACGCCGCTTTTAACAGTATTCCAGTCATATCACGGCGTGTCAGCTTAATGTATGGGGAAAGCCCGAAGTGATGCAGGTCTCAGACGTTTACCACTTTGGTGAAACCCACGAGCACGGGTATGGTGTTGACAAACCTGGAAACATAATTGGGACGAACCGGGATTCGAACCCATAATCATAGGTGTGATTAACTGCAGATTAACTGTTCAATGTTTTTCGCTATTCATATTTTAATTTTATTCATAATACACCAATCTTATAACAGAAAGTTTAAAAGGACTTCTTATTGTAAGTACAGTTGATTGAACTGGAACACATAATGTATTGGTATCACGACAACGATACACAGGCTGCCTGTCCTGTTTGACCCTGGTTTCAATTCATTCAGAATCAGTTTAACCATGTCCTGAATTTGGGGCGGTGGGGTGGCCTAGTGGTTAAAGCATTCACTCATCACACCGAAGACCCGGGTTCGATTCCCCACATGGGTACAATGTGTGAAGCTCATTTCTGGTGTCCCCCGCTGTGATAATGCTGGAGTATTGCTAAAAGCAGTGTAAAACCTCACTCACTCACTCACTGTCCCGAATTGTGCATTTTGAAACAATTGAATGTTAAATTGTAATTCTGGGTCGCTAGTCATTTGTACATACTTCCAGCAGTAGTAACTAACGGTTTTAGTCCACTACTCCTTATAATGATGACATATAGCAAAACCCTTAAAAATGGCAAATTTCTACTAGTCCTTATGATACCTTAACTATTGGGCCGTTTTGTAAGGACTACAGGACTAAAGTACTCACGGAAATGAAAAAAAACTGTTTTTTCTACCTCAGATCTTAAATAAATGCAGTTAATATACAAAATATGTAAATATTCAAACAACTAAATTAGTACTAATTGGGCCGTGGCACAAATACAGCGTATCAAATGTTTTAATGCCTTTTTACACATAACAGTGTGTAAAAATGTGAATAAAACAGACTATTGTGAAACAGGGCATAACCAGGTGTAAGTAGATCAAGGTGACCTATGACACCTTGACGACAGGTGAGAACAGGTGCATAATGCCTATAGTCTGTTTCTGCTATGTCAATTTGGACTTTATTATTGAATGTTGAAAGTGCCGACAAATTACCTCCTGTAAAGTACATTTTGTATTGTTCACTGAGATCAAACTAGCAAATCCAGACTAGTACTTTTCGAGTTGTTTTGTTATTTCGTATTTACAGCTACGTAACACTTTGTGTCGATTTTTAAATTGAGAAAAACAGGTTTTTTTCATTTCCGTGAGTACTTTAGTGCCAATTTCTAGCACTGACTTTATGATACAGCACACAGCAAGATAAGGAAAATCCTTACGATATATTTGCATACACAAAATTTATCATCGTACAGGTAGGAAAGTCATCGGTTGTAAGGGGTCAGGGTCCTCGAGATATCGTCTGAGGTTCTCAGTCCGCTGTGCAGAGTTGCGTCCCTTGGGTATGCCAGAAATCTATCATCTCGAGTTCAAACCCAGGTCATACCCATATTCATGAGTTTCACACGGTGGTTAACATCGGAGAATCTCTTTGTGTTTTCCTCCGCACATCACAACATAGATGGATGCTGTTCAAAGCGGTGTTAAACCCACCTCACTCAAACACGTCAGCTGTAGACTGTGTCTCACCCGTGAAGATTCGAGATAGAATAGGTCTTCAGCAACCAATGCTTGCCGTAAAAGGCGACTATGCTTGTCGTAAGAGGAGAAAGACAACAGGATTGGGTGGTCTGACTCATTGACTTGGTTGATGCATATCATCGTATCCCAATTGCGTGGGTCGATGCTCATGATATCAATCACTGGATTGTCTGGTTCGGACTCGATTATTTACAGACCGCCGTCATATAGCTGGAATATTGCTGAGTGCGGCGTTAAACAACAAACAAATTGCTTGAGTAATGCACTTCATAGTGACCACATAAATTCCCGCGAATCCTCCACGTTTTTACATACACAAACAAACGCGAACATTCTGAGTTCCTTACCATAATTCTCCTGAACACTCTATAAGTTTTATTTTACCCAGGTACATACATCAACTGTGAAAACACCATTGTCACATGGGTATTTATCAGGCTACTACAAAAATTTGAAATATTCCATGACCCGTGAAGAATAGGTCTCCAGCAACCCATGCTTGCTGTAAAAGGCGACTATGCTTGTCGTAAAAGGCGACTATCGGGATCGGGTGCTCAGGCTCGCTGACTTGGTTGACGTATGTCATCGTATCCCAATCGTGTGGGTCGATGCTCATGATGTCAATCATTGGATAGTTTGGTCCAGACTCAATTATTTTCAGACCACCGTCATATAGGGTATTTATCAGGCTACTAGGTGCAAGTGCTGATTAAATGTAGATGTGTACACGACAAGGACGCAATGCAAGTTGTTCATGAATCAATATTCATGTCAAATAAAAGATTTATGGGCAACGTTATTACGGCAGGAATATTTTACAAACTGGTGTTTATTTGTCAAACATTACCTCAGTGTTTGAAATAAGCGCCTGCCCGTAGTAGGTAGATCTCATTTTGGGCCCATATATCAAACTTGTATGGGTCCTTATGGTGAATTTATGTGTCGATTTTTTTGTCACAATAAGCTGCAGTTTAAAAAAAAATTATTTGAGAGTCTGAACAGGTTAGTCAGGGCCTGCAGCTTCTGGGACTGCCTCCGTAGTCTACTGGTAGAGCGTCCGCCCGGAGAGCGGAAGGTCCGGGGTTCGATCCCCAGCCGCGTCATACCAAAAGACGTTAAAAGATGGTACTTGTTGTTACCCTGTCTGGCGCTCGACCGTAAGGGGCTAAAACAAGGACTGGTCGGCTCGGAGTCATTATACTGTGTATGAGTGGGGTATTCATGTTAAACTGCGGCAATGGTATCTCAGTGAGCTAGCACTATAAATCGGCATCAGTCTGGACTAGTACAAGCAGCCACACAAACACACACACGTACATGCACGTCGCTATATAAGTGCAATAATCTTGGACGCGACGTTAAACCCCATTTCACCTCACCTCACCTCACCTCACCTCACCTCACCAGCAGCTTCTGAAGTCTGTGGGTCCAGAAGGCACCGGGCAATTTATTTTATTTCAAACACTGTCTGTAATTTATACACACTGTAGCATGATATATTTAGATCATGGCCTGATTTAGGTACATTTTGAATTTGATGGGGTTTTTTTCCAGTTTCCTCCCACTAAATTCAGCATTGTAGCTGAATATGTTCCTTTCTTGCCTTCCTGATTCACATTATCACAAACAACCATCTTGGGTTACATCAAAAAGTGCAACTCTGGCATTGTGTTTTGAAAGGAAAATAATTTAGAAAATAATTTAGAAAATAAACACACAACCAGAACCAATCTCATTAAAATCAGATCTTAGTTCTCGCTACCGCTAAACAAAGCTTTGTTTAGCGGTAGCGAGAACTAAGATCTGATTTTAATGAGATTGAACCAGAACCAAATTTAGTATGCTAAAATTTATGGCTGATTTGAGGTCAGTCAATAATGAGAAAATAGACTTTTGTATGTGTTTCTGTGATTTTGCTAGGAACATATGATATTGGGAAATGTTTGTGATTTTGTACAGGATTTCTGCCATATTAGGGTTGCGACCAGGTACGAAAACAGAACTCGAGTACCCGGCAGACAATACCCGAACCGGACTCGAGTACCCGTAGTTCAATGTTGTCCTACTTGTTTGTAATGCTTCTGCGAATAAAAGGTCATCAAACATCTATTGATCTATTCTAAGGTATTATGGGTTTTTTTATTAAATGCCTGCATGGCTTACCTAAAACATTTGAACGTTTGTCCGCTTTGTCGTCCTTTTCGAAGTGACTTATGAGTTACGAAAGGCGATTAGAGTTATCTCCCCTGAACGGGTACTTGAGTCCAGAAAATTGGACTCGAGTCCCAAGCTACCTGACCCGTTATCGGGTACTCGAGTACCCGTTGCAACCCTATGCCATATCTCTTCCAAATCAGAAAATAATGTAGGATATTTGGATGACATTCAGCTAATGAATCGATCTGAAACCTGGTGGTAAAGGTGCATATTTCATTTAATGACATTCTTCAAAATCAAATTCCGTTGTGAAAGTCTTTAAAGTCTGATGGAAATAAGGAAGAGAATTTATGGCTGTCAATTCTTTATTATGCATGTTATGAGGAACACAACATTTCGGAGTATATGCTTACTCCTTCATCAGGTGAATAAATGCCATGAGGCAGAGATTAATTAGCACTGATAGGTGTAAGAATGGACATACGTTGTGTTCCTCATAATAAAGAAGTTGACATCCATATATTCTCTTCCTTATGTGAATCACTTCTAAATGCCTTTCAAAGACCTCTGAAGCAAATGTTTTAATGGCTTGTTCCCATAACTGATATAAAGAAAAACCTTTAAGTTGCAAATATATCCAAAATGCATGACTACCCCTGAAGATCAGGGGTAGAATAGGTCTTCAGCAACCGATGCTTTCCGTAAAAGGCGACTTTGCTTGTCGTAAGAGGAAACTAACAGGATTGGGTGGTCAGTCTCGCCAATTTGGTTGATGCATGTCATCATATTGCAATTGCAAATATCGATGCATCATCTCAATCACTGGATTGTCTGGTCCAGGTTTGATTATTTGCGGTACAGACCGCCATCTTACAGCTGGAATATTGCTGAGTGTGAGTTAAACAACAAACAAACAAACAAACAAACAACAAGCCATTCAAGCATGACTGCAGGCTGACACTGTGACTTTGGATTCTCAAGTTGACCATTTCTTTGCTACGTAGGACGTAAAAGATCGTGCACACAGACATTAAGAAAGGCTTTATGTGTTTCCCTCTGTTGCAGGACTACGGAACACAGGAAATTTTACTTTACTATGACGCTGAATCCCAGTGGAGTGCAGTCTACAAAACGAGCAAGGTAAGGATCTCTTTGTTGGCTGGCTCGGGATCGGGCAGGCGGGCAGGCTCACTGACTTGGTTCATGAATGTTAGGGCCAGGACGAGTCCAAATTTACTACCCGGGTACCCACCACCCTATAACCCGACCCTACCCGGGTACCCACTGTTGGTCTCAGGGGATGTCTCAAAATGTCCGATTGGGAACATTTTTAGCATAGCCCTAGCAAAACGTATTTAGATACATGTATGAAACAATCTGGTCATTCATACACTGAAGTTGAATTAAGTCATATCCACCATAGGAAAAATCAGAAGGAAAGGGTGCATAGTCAGAAAGAAATGCGAACATTAGTGACTTGTAGTGTAACCATAGAGTTATAGATCATCTTTGTCATTAAACAATATATCACGTGACTAATCACGGGTCCGGGTAGTCCTGTGGGTACCCGGGTCCTACTCAGTACCCACCCGAACCGGGTACCCGAGTTACCCGTCCCAGCCCTAATGCATGTCATCATATCCCAATTGTGTAGATTGATGTTCACAATGTCAATAACTGGATTGTCTGGTCCAGACTTGATTATTTACAGACCGCGGCCATATAGCTGAAATATTGCAGAGTACGGCTTTAAATAACAAACAATTTATATGTGAGTACGACAAAATAATGGGGACAGCCATTATGCCATAAAATTCCAAACACAGTTGTGTTTACTCCATACAAGTAGATTTCAGCCGTCTACCCGTTGCAGAACAAGTCAAATGTCTATTGATTTTAACCCCCAAATGTCAAGCTTGCCGTGATGATATTACACCCTTTATCTAAAATCTGGATAATATTGGCAATGTCCTTGGTAACAGTGGCTTGCAACCAGTCTCAATTTCTCTGTTAAAACATGGAAATGATTTAACATCTGACCCAGGAATAGGGTTATCATGTAACCAATCATAGTCTGGTGGGACAGATGTGTCCTCGTTGTTAAAAGACCAGTCCACAGGAATGTTCTATCATTATTTTAACGTAGTAGGCCATATTGCTTTTGCTGTTTACAGACTTCTGAAACAGATGGTCTCAGAGACTGGAATTAAATGTTCAATCATTATTTTAACAAAATAGGCCATAATTTTGTTTTTGCTTTTTACACACTTGCGAGGCATATGATTTCAGAGACTGGGATTAAATAATTTGTGTTTTGTTTAGGTAAAAGGTTAAGGATTCATTCACCCAAAATTTAACAAAATTCGAATAAGCAGGCTCCGATAAGATAACAGCCCTTAATTCATCCTGCCATATTAAACTAATTTCACTAATGAAAAATATTTTTGAAGGGGGTCAGTACGTCAGTACCAACCCTTTGTCTTTTTCTGCAGGTTTTCAGCAACCCGTGCTTGCTGTAAGAGGTTAAAGCAACTTGTCTCCCCCCTTGAAGATCCGGGGTAAAATAGGTCTTCAGCAACCCATGCTTGCTGTAAAAGGCGACTCTGCTTGTCGTTAGAGGCGACTAACATGATCGGGTGGTCAGGCTCGCTGACTTGGTTGAAGCATGTCATCGATCCCAATTGCGTGGATTGATGCTCATGATATCAATCACTGGATTGTCTGGTCCAGACTCCATTATTTACAGACTGCCGTCATATGGCTGGAATGTTGCTGAGTGCGGCGTGAAACAACAAACAAACCAACTTTTTCTGCATCTCTCCAGACTCTTGGCTTGGAGTTAGGATTTCATAGTATTACAGGTATACAAACAAAACCTGTTACAATAATGTTTCTGTGTTCCGGTATATTGGTTAAAAAATATAGGTTTTGTTATTATTTGTATCGTTTAACCTAAAATCTGCAGAAATTCATTCACAAATGATGTTTCCTTTCGAAATTGATGGACAAAATGGTGGAAACACCATTTGGTTTTTTCATCACATTGTTATCTCCCTTGTATCCATGACTACAAAATGGTGGCATCTGTCCATGAGTAATATTTACTTCAGTACATGGAAAATAGGATCTGCATCTTCAAGCAGTGTCAATCTCTGTCAAACACTTTAGCTCCCAAATAACTCTTAAATGTATCCCAATACAGGTACCTGTATCACAGACCCGTGAAGATCTGAGGTAAAATAGGTCTTCAGCAACCCCTGCTTGCCGTAAAAGGCGACTGAGCTTGTCGTAAAAAGCGACTAACGGGATCGGGTGGTCAGGCTTGCTGACTTGGTTGATGCATGTCATCGATCCCAATTGCGTGGATCGTTGCTCATGATGTCAATCACTGGATTGTCTGGTCCAGACTCAATTATTTACAGACCGCCGTCATATAGCTGGAATATTGCTGAGTGCGGCGTTAAACAACAAGCCAACCAACCTGTATCACAAGATATTGCAATACAATCTTTTTGACAATACACAGCCCTGCTATGAGTTCAAGGTGATTGTTATACTTTCATTGGCAGTATTTCTTTTAAAATCTTACAATAAACACTACAAAGATTTAGCTACTAGTATATAAAACATGCACCATTGCATCCTATTATTGACAAATGCAACCTAATATTTATGTCTACATGCAGCAAGCACATGTGGAGCCAAATTCAAAATTGTGTACGACTAACCCTTACTTGTCCACACAACAAGAAGCTTTGAACACATGCGGTACCTCTAAGCTTTATGGGGGGCATGGGTGGCCCAGTCGTCTAAGGCGCAGTGAATCGCTGTGCAGAGTTGCGTCCCTTGGGCACGCCAGAAACCTAGGATTGTGGGTTCGATTCTCGGTTCACCCCGATTATGTTTCTAGGTTTGTCAGCTTCATACCCGTGCTTGTGGGTTTCACCGAAGTGGTAAACATCTGAGGCCTGCATCACTTCAGGCTTTCCTCCCACATTAAGCTGACACGTCGTGATATCACTGGAATACTGTTAAAAACAGCGTTAAACCCAACTCACTCACTCTAAGCTTTATGTCCCATACTACATTACTGGACCCTGTGGAATGTGCGTCATGACATAGTTGTCAGAGATCCGAGATTGTACTTTTGTAGGCTAGTTTATGCGTCTGTAAGCTTCTCTGAAGCTCTTATCATGTCTGGAGTGAGTGAGTGAGTGAGTTGGGTTTAACACCGCTTTTAACAGAATCCAGTTTCATTTACATGGAAGCCTCAGTGGCTGAGTGGGTTAGATCGCTGACTTTGTGTGCTGGCGATTAGGTGCCTCACTCTGGCGGTGTGGGTTCAAATCCGGATTGGACTCAAACCAAAAAGGTACTAGAATCTGTACTTTACTAAGAAAGTGTTGTCCCAAATATGATATTTGTTACAGCAGGTGCAACTAGCTTTTTATGTCAGCTCGCACCCGGTGTGAGTTGAAAGGACAGGACGTCGTCCAATCGAAAGCTTTGTCAACAATAGCCGATAATCCCCGAGCTTACTAGGTACTGCTCTCCTTATTCCATTTCTGCTCCAGTGACCACACCGGTCTAGGCTTATCACGTGACCAGACTTTACTTTTGTGTGTTAAAAAAGCCACGCACTCTGAGGTGAGGTGAAATGGGGTTTAACGTCACGTCCAAGATTATTGCACTTATATAGCGACGTGCATGCACGTGTTTGCGTGGCTGCTTGTACTAGTCCAGACTGATGCCGATTTATAGTGCTAGCTCACTGAGATACCATGCCACAGTTTAACATGAATACCCCACTCAGACACAGTATACTGACTCCAAGCCGACCAGTCCTTGTTTTAGCCCCTTTATGCCGAGCGCCAGACGGGGTAACAACAAGTACCATCTTTTAACGTCTTTTGGTATGACGCGGCCGGGAATCGAACCCCGGACCTTCCGCTCTCCGGGCGGATGCTCTACCACAAGACCACGGAGGCGGCCCCACGCACTCTGAAATAAGAACAGATTGGCCCAATGCAAGCCCACTCGCAATTTTTGCATTAATTCACGCTCGCGTTAATTTCAAGATTTACAGTATTGTTTTGCATAATTATATAGACATACTACTACGACTGTGACAGTGAGCATCAAAGTGACCATTTCATTAGCTCTCTGTAGTGCTTCGATGACAGGACTTGAAGGACAAATATGCAAATGGAAATAGTTTTTCATGTTTTAGGATATTTTCATGACATGTTTATCAAAATGTGTAAACTCGTCCTAAATGAAACAGATGAAAACATGCATGGACTGTGTAGGCAAGTGATTGTCTAAGATTTGATAAAAACTGGCTTCTGATCTAATCCAGCTGGCAATTGGTATTTTTTACCACAGCAATAAGAAAAGCACACAAGCTCCCTTTCAATTTGCTTCTATTAAAAAACAAGATTGAAGCTAGTTTACTCTGCACATCACTTGCGTTGTTGGCTTCACTGTGCGGAGCTCTTTTGTTTTGGTTTGAGAACTAATCGGGCATAATCACACTTGGAAGTTTTTTCATGCATGATTTAAGAACACACAGAACCGTTTATGTACTACCGGTAGTTGTCCCTTTAAGTTAAGTTTTAGTCTAAAATCGACCCTGCTTAATACTAGCAAGAAGTGTTCAGTGCCTTTAGTAATGAAACCTCTTGGTCATAATCTATTGACCTCTACCACTTCCAAAGTACCTGTTGACCTATGAAGCAAATCATTATTGTATTGTCACCACGGCAACACATCAGTCATCCATTGTTGTGAGAGTAACTGTTGGTTGGCATTGTTGAGTTTGTTCTGAGTGCAAACAGGTTCCGTTCATCACCATCAAAGGAAGCGATTGCGGAATGTCATCATGAATATTTATTGCAATTTAATTTTTGTACACAAGTCATTTCTTTACTGTTCGCTGAATGAAATATGGAGCTCTAGTGGGTAGAATGGTTTGGTTTGTTTTTTTGTTCATTCTAAATGCTATATACATTAGGGCTCTTAAGATTCACTATTATATATTGGACAATTTTAACAAAACAGATCAGAAAATATGTTCATTTTGGAGAGTAAATGTAATTAGAAAGAACTGTGTCGAAGTGCTATCCCTGATATAGCCTACAGGCACTCAAATATTAGAGGAATCATTTTAGCCTGACTAACCACATTGCTGAAAAAATGAAAATCTTGCTCTATGTGTAAACATTAGGATTATTTTCGGACAATTTTTGTCACCACTAGTCCTGAGCCCGAGTCTAGTAAAATTCTGTTCGGTCTAGTAAACCCTGTTCAGAGCTCCAGATAAGCTTTTGGTGTTGTCGGTATTTTACCCATGCGTTTTATAATCATTGGGTATCAGTAATTCTATCCGGGTATTCAAATTTCTGTTACCCACTAGTTTTTACACATGTGGGTATTTAAGTTAAATATTTAAAAACACTATTCATCCAGTCCCTGCAAACTGGTGTTGTGTGGGTTCGAGAGCTTTATCGGACTCAAAAATACCACGATACTTCACAAGAAAGTGTGATGCAAATGATCATGATGTAACTGTCATCGTGGAGTTTGGCAAGGTTGACGGAATGCCCGTTTATAATTTCAAAATAAGTTGCTGATTTGCTAATCGAATACGCAGGGTTACTTCACAATATTTTGATGATACGCACAAGTTTTATTTTTGTAGCGTATCTGTAATGTTCGTTGCGTATTTGATACGCTTGGATTTTATTTTACTGTGTTTTTCTGCATTTCTGATGCGTATTTCACGCAGATACGCAGCTTATCTGAAGCTCTGCCTGTTAATAAAAATCCAAAATGACGCTTGGAGACATATTCGGGCTAGAGGTCTCATATTTTTTTAGCCCAGACTGCTGGAGTCCTTGTGATTGTTTATTTTCAATTTTCTTCATTTCAGAACTGCTCTTCAAAAGTGTCTGTATTGAAGCCAGAAAACCATCAAATTATTGCCTTGAACACTAGCAGCACCCTGACATCCCGGTACTCAGGGTGTCGCTTCGCCCAGCGTGATGGCAAGAACTGGTACAACTGCACTGGGAGTCGAACCTTCAGGTCTATGCGGGAGCGATGGTGGTACGTCGCCGTGGCACGATGTGGGAAGTCCCAAGGAAATGTAAGTGGAACAGTGTTCATCGGTCGCCATGTTACACCAAACTATTTTTAATCCTTGTCTACCCCGTCCTTTCTTACCAGGAAACATCCAGGGTTGAACTTGTCTTCAGAAACCCATGATTGTCGTAAGAGGCGACCAACCTGTTTGGGTGGTCAGGCTTGTCTTGGTTGATGCATGTCATCGCATAGATTGATACTCATGACAATCACTGGATAGTCTGGTCCAAATTCGGTTATTTACAGATTATTGTTTGCTGAGTGTGGCATTAAAGAACAAACAAAAAAATAACAAATATTTTACAGATTTTTTGTTAAAAAAATCCCTGAAGGATGGAGAAAAAGGTCAAAATCAATTTTAGAAATAGAATCAGACTAAGTTTGTTACCATGGTTACTGTCTAGCTCCTATGAAAAGTACTTACCGATGTAATATACTCATCTGTCTTTTCGATTCCCGACATGGGTACAATGTGTGAAAGCCCATTTCTGGGGCCCCCTGCCGTGATATTGCTGGAATATTGCTAAAAGCGGCGTAAAACCATACTCACTCACTCACTCATCTGTCTTTTAGGGGGGATTGTTGTCTTTTCAAGTCAGGTATAGTCTCTGTGAGAACACATGGGCGGAAACAGGCAAAGTCACAATTTTTGTGTAACCGTTAACCTTGAGTCAGTGAGTAGGGTTTTACGCCACTTTTAGCAATGTTCCAGCAATATCACGGCAGGGGACACAAGAAATGGGCTTCACACATTGTACCCATGTCGGGAATCGAACCCGGGTCTTCGCCGTGAAAAGCGAATGCTTTAACCGCTAGGCTACCCACCACCCCTGACAAATAGAGACCGGACACTATTATACCATGTTTGGGATATTTTGGTTGTCAGGTGGATCTGTAAAAGTAGTTTGGTGTTTGCAGCAGTGTGGGCATGGTTGCAAATATTCAAAAGATATCTGATATCTCAAACATGACAAAGACAGTGTTAGCACTGAACTTGTCAACATGCTTCACTTTCTAGGTGTGTACTTTGGCAGTGAGCAGTGTTTAGCTATCACCAGACCCGTGAAGATTGGGGTTAGATAGGTCATCAGCAACCCATGCTTGCCGTAAAAGGTGACCATGCTTGTCGTGAGAGGCGACTAACGGGATTTGGTGGTAAGGCTCGCTGACTTGGTTGATGCATGTCATCATATCCCAATTGCGTGGATCGATGCTCATGATGTCAATCTCTGGATTGTGTGGTCCAGACTTGATTATTAACAAACAAATTTGGCATTAAGGGTTGTTTGGCTACGACCAAGTAACCTCCATTGCTGACATCTGTTTGACAACTAGTTTAGACTGTTGTCCGTTTGGCGACCATGATTTATCATGTAATTGCCCAACAGCTATCTCATGTACCGGGTATACATCCCAGGAAGTTGAGAATGAAATTAGAGTTTGATGTATTGTTTCATTCCTAGTTGTTTGGATTTAATATTTTCAAGTTATGTGATTTGAACATGTCACATTAGCTGAAAAGAATGATTAATGATAAAAGTTATGTGCAACATCCCAGTGGTATGATATATTTCTTTCAGAGATTTTGTTTGTTTGTACAGAGCTCCAGATAACTTTTTGAGCAATTGAGTTTTTACTAAAAAGGTTTCTATTTTAGTTGGGTTCTTACATTTTTCATTGGGTAACCAATATTTTTTCACTCATCTATTCATCACTCTATTTGGTTTTTCCCCAAATGAGTAAGTATTTTGAGATTATAAAAAAATGAAATAATGTTTTAGATGCATATAACTGTGCATTTTGAGATTATAAAAAAATGAAATGATGTTTTAGATGAATATAACTGTGCATTTTGAGATTATAAAAAAATGAAATGATGTTTTAGATGCATATAACTGTGCATTTTGACATGTTTGAGATTATAAAAAAATGAAATGATGTTTTAGATGCATATAACTGTGCATTTTGACATGTTTGAGATTATAAAAAAATGAAATGATGTTTTAAATGTATATAATGGTTCTAAATATAGGTTTGACACGGAAAGTAAGTTAGCTCGTAATTGTGTTTTTGAAATTAGCTCCTTTGTACGCATGCTTTTTATGTGTGCTGTTTTTAAAGAATTCAGTTTTCCATTTATTGCAGGCGTTTCTGAATGTAAGCTGATTGAAAGTAATTGGGTTTTGAATATTTTTTAGGGGTATGTTACGCAAATACGCAGCTTATCTGTAGTTCTGTTTGTAGGTAGATCTGTGAAATAAGTTTATCCCTTTTAATTGCCCCACAGATGGAAGACTTGAATTGACATTTGTAATGTGCATCGTATCCATGTTAAACTAGACCTGTGAAGATTCAAGGTAGAACAGGTCTTCAGCAACCCATGCTTGCTGTAAAAGGTGACTAAGCTTGTCGTAAGAGGCGACTAATAGGATTGGGTGGTCAGGCTCGCTGACTTAGTTGATGCATGTCATCGATCCCAATTGCGTGGATCGATGCTCATGATATTCATCACTGGATTGTCTTGTCCAGACTCGATTTTTTACAGACCGCCGTCATATAGCTGGAATATTGCTGAGTGCGGCGTTAAACAACAAACCAACCATGTTAAACTGTGGCATGGTATCTCATGGTTTTGGCAATATCAAACCAACATAAATTTGGGGTAATACAAGCAGCCACACACGCACATGCACACACACGCACATGCACATGCACACACACGCACATGCACACTCACGTGTATACATGTTGCTATAAGTGCAGTAAACTTGAGTGTAACATTAAACTCCATTTCGCCTCCCATCACAAAGTAATTCTGTTCACATTATTTATGGGACTGTCGGGATTCAGTCACTGCCGACATTCTTAGTTTATATATTCACAATTAAAACTAAATGGATTTAAAAATCACGTTCAAATTTATTTATTTATTTTTTTCACCCTGCAAGGCTGTAAGATACGTAAGTAACTTGACAGTAACTGTTGTTTTTCTTCCTCATTTTCTATGCTGTTATTATTTACACGGATAAAAAACATTATTTTGCACATCGTACTTCTGCACACACTGTTGTAGATTGTCATGTGCATTGTGCCCTCGCTTGGGGGCTTCATCAAAGTGTTGGGGGCACGGGTGGCCCAGTCGTCTAAGGCGCCGCAATGCGCTGTGCGGAGTTGTGTCTCTTGGGCACACCAGAAACCTATGATTGTGGGTTTGGATCCCGGTTCGCCCCAATTATGTTTCTAGGTTTGTCGGTACCGTAACCATACTCGGGGGTTACACCAAAGTGGTAAACGTCTGAGACCTGCATCACTTCGGGCTTTCCTCCCACATTAAGCTGACACGCAGTGATATAACTGGGATACTGTTAAAAGCGGCGTTAAACCCCACTCACTCACTCATGAAAGTGGTAAATAGCAAAGACCTGCATCACTTCAGGCTGACCTCCCACATTAAGCTGACACGCCGTGATATAACTGGAATACTGTTACATTAGAGTTACGCACATCTCATTCATTGGGCTGTAAGGATATGATTTATGACAATGTCCAGTGTTAGAAATTGGCACTACTCCTGTAGTCCTTGCCTAACTGCCCAATAGTTATCATAAGGACTGGTAGAAATTTGCCCTTTTTAAGGGTTTTGCTATAAGTTATCATTACCTGGACTAGTGGACCTGAGTTTCTATCACTGAATGTCAACATATCTCAATAATGAGGTCATGGTACACAATATTATGATACTCGTATCGTGGTCCGGTGCATTGGGATGCAATCAACAGCCGATGAACCGTTATGTCTCTTCTCACTCAACACCTGACGGAATAATGCACAGCTTTTGATGTGAATGCTACTTCTTTATATATAGGCGTCTATGTTTTTTCAGTTAGTTCACAGATCCCTCGACTTAAAATTCGGAGAAAATGGGAAAAATAACAATAAAAATAATTGTTTAATACCGGTGATATTTTATCACTGCTGACACAACCAAAGAAAAAGAAGCTAAAATACAATTCTAGAATCTTGCAATGCCGTAATGACACGACTTTGTTATCCACATGTTTCTCACTCCTCTTTGTATTTCAAAATGCAATTCAGAGTAATATGCAGTACAGAGAGAATATATGTTGTACCTTTTTAATATTAAGTCACAGTTTGAAAGAACAAGTTCCATTGTTACACTTTTAAATGGCAGATACAGATATATGTTATGTGAGAATTACACACACACACACGCACAAAAAAAATCACACACACACACACACACACACACACACACACACACACACACACACACACAAAATCTCACACACACACACAATCTCTCTCACACACACACACAATCACACAATCACACACGCACGCACACACACACACTCACACACACACAAACGCACACAAACACATATACCCCTAGCTGAATAGATTATTTTGGGGGGGAAATCTGTAAACCAACTAATTAAAAAAACAACTTTATGGCATGAGCTCCTTACCTGTTGATATGAGCATCCATACTACTCAAAAGAAGTTAAAAAACGCCCGATTTTTTTATATGACTATAGTCTACCTGTCATGGCCATTGCAACACACAACCTTCCACTTATGGGTGTTCCTTAACTTGTTTTGAGTAGCATATGTTTTTCAACTATAAGTCGGGGCGGTCGGGTAGCCTAGTGGTTAAAGCGTTGGCTCGTCACACCGAAGACCCGGGTTCAATTCCCGACATGGGTACAATGTGTGAAGCCCATTTCTGGTGTCCCCCGCCGTGATATTGCTGGAATATTGCTAAAAGCGGCGTAAAACCATACTCACTCACTCACTCAACTATAAGTGTCTTCATTATACCGCAGCAAAGCATTTTTCCAGCTCTCCTGACCGAAAGTCAACTGAGCTAATATATAAGCAGGCATAACACATGTTATGTTTGGGATAACAGTTTCTTAGTAAAGTAGAGATTCTCGTACTTTTTATGGTTGAGTCCTATCCAGGATTCGAGGCACCTAATCGCCAGCACACAAATTCAGCGATCTAACCCACGCAGCCACCGATGCTTCCACGAAAATGAAACTTCGACAACTGGTAGTTTAGATCACTAGCTGGTATCATGAATTTATCCAAGTTGAAACATAGATGTGTGAACATTACAGCGATCTAACCCACTCAGAATCTGTACTTTACTAAGAAAGTGAAGTCCCAAATATAACATTTCTTACATTTGACAAATTTCTAAATGTCATTGTGCGTTCATAAGCAGGGCATGTTGTGCATTGTCCACCAGTCTGTCGTAAACGTTTTACATTTTCAACTCCTCTGATAACAACCTGAAGCCTGGGAAGCTGTGTGTTTTAAGGATGATCCCGTCTCTCGTAGATACGGTGTCACTAAGGTTTTCTCACAGTGGATTTACCGGTGAAGATCCGGGTAAGAATTGATCTTCAGCAACCCATGCTTGTCGTAAGAGGTGACCATGCTTGTCATAAGAGGCGACAAATGGGATCGGGTGGTCAGGCTCGCTGACTTGGTCATTGTATCCCAATTGCATAGATCGATGCTCATGATGTCGATCACTAGATTGCCTGGTCCAAACTTGATAATATATGTGCCCCAACCCACAAACTGCTGGATTCTGTTATTTACATGCAGCCATCCTATAACTTGAATATTGCTTCAACAAGCAAACAAACAGACAGACAAACAAACAAACAAACAAGCCCCATAAGAGCAAACCTTATAGAAAGGCATGTCTGGTCTCTTCACTCAAGACTTCCTGGTAGAGGTATGAAATACAACATTATTGTTCTTTGATGGAGGGTTTTTATGACCTCCTTGAGGGTGTCGTATACCTACATAGATACATATCAGTCACCGAAACCTTGGTTTGTGCAGAGCACGCTGATAGCAACACCCTCCATACAATACCCCTGACACTGTCAATACATCACAGGCTTGTGTACACTACTTACCTGTATAGTGTATACAAGCACGTGAAGTATTGACAGTATGTGTGTGACAGGGATTTATTTGAGGGTCACACCTGTGAATAATATTCAGGGATCTGCCCATCCAACTAATGTAAACCATGCAATATGAAAGTGTGAAGTATTGACAGTATATGTGTGACAGGGATTTATTTGAGGGTCACACCTGTGAATAATATTCAGGTCAGGTCAGGTGAAATTTGGTTTAACATCACGTCCAAGATCATTGCACTTATATAGCGACGTGCATGCACGTGTGTGTGTGTGTGTGGCTGCTTGTACTAGTCCAGACTGATGCCGATTTATAGTGCTAGCCCGCTGAGATACCATGCCGCAGTTTAACATGAATACCCCACTCAGACACAGTATACTGACTCCGAGCCAACCACTCCTTGTTTTAGCCTTTTAATGTCGAGCGCCAGACAGGGTAACAACAAGTACCATCTTTTAACTTCTTTTGGTATGACGCGGCCGGGGATCGAACCCCGGACCTTCCGTTCTCCAGGTGGACGCTCTACCACAAGACCACGGAGGCGGTCAATATTATTCAGGGATCTGCCCATCCAACTAATGTGAACCATGCAGTATGAAAGTGTGGTGAGATTGTTTGTTTGTTGGTTTGTTGTTTAACGCCGCACTCAGCAATATTCCAGCTATATGACGGCGGTCTGTAAATAATCGAGTCTGGACCAGACAATCCAGTGATTGACATCATGAGCATCGATCCGCGCAATTGGGATCGGTGACATGCATCAACCAAGTCAGCGAGTCTGACCACCCGATCCCGTTAGTCGCCTCTTTCGACAAGCATAGTCGCCTTTTACTATGGCAAGCATGGGTTGCTGAAGACCTATTCTACCCCGGAATCTTCACGGGTCTGTGGTGAGATTACTTGTTATTTACGTGTCTGTATAACGTGTAGAATTGTCACTTTATACAACATGACCATGATGACAGTTAACACAGTTACAGGGGTTTCAGGTATTTTGTACTGAAGTGATATTTTACCAAAAGGAAATATTTACATTATTATTTAATGTGCTTCAAATAAAACCCCTGTGAATGTATGTCCTATCTCAAATAAAACCTGCACGACCATTGCCCAATTTCAAATGAAAACTCCTGCAATGATATGTCCTATCGCAAATGAAACCTGCATGACCATTGCCCTATCTCAAATGAAACCCCTGCAATCACATGTCCTATCTCAAATGAAACCCCTGCAATCACATGTCCTATCTCAAATGAAACCCCTGCAATCACATGTCCTGTCTCAAATGAAACCTGCACAAACATATGTCCTATCCCAATTGAAACCTGCACGAACACATGTCCAATCTCAAATGAAACCTGCAGGACCATTGCCCTATTTCAAATGAAACGCTGTGATTGTATGTCCTATCTGAAATGAAACCTGCACGACCATTGCCCTATCTCAAATGAAACCTGCACGAACACATGTCCTATCTCAAATGAAACCTGCACAACCATTGCCCTATTTCAAATGAAACGCTGTGATCGTATGTCCTATCTGAAATGAAACCTGCACGAACACATGTCCTATCTCAAATGAAACTGGTGGTAACATAATTCTCTCTCAGACTCTGTCTGACCTTCTTGGAAAGGAAGTTTACCTTTTAAACATCTAGGTTTGGCTCCTAATGTATTCATAAATATAACAAATTTAGACTGCTGATGAATGTACTGAATGGATAGTATAATTTGTATTAATACTCATAGTGTCTTATCAATCTCAATGAAAGGAAGCGAACACATTTTATTATGGAGGTCATGGTGAAATGATATACACCTAGATCTAATGTAACCCACGTTCTTGTGCACATTAGCTCACAGATCAATACAGGGCCTGTAAATAAATTGCTTTGCTTGTCAGATTTCTTATCAGCAACAGACTTTATCAGTACATGAAAATGTTCATAATTTCTATATTCAAAGGGTCCTACAGTGATTGATTTAGTGCTAGT